AAAAAAGGAGCATGCAACCTCTAAAAAGCTTGAGAAAACATATCCTTCCCCCATGRAAACATTTTCTAATAATGACAGCTTTGTGTAAGCATCTCCTGAGGCACTACAGCATCTGAAGAAACCATCCTAAGAGACAAAGATKCTTCACTTTGACATTGTGTTTACCAGYCCCAGCCTGAAGGAAGTTCGAGTCACAGAACAGAAAGGYTGGTTTTACAAAATAGTGATACATGCTTAACAAAAGCACAACAAAAGGGTTACTGGCCAAAGTTTAAGGGCTATGGGTAGCAATTAACTGCTGAAACACTCGCATACCCACCCTTAGGAGTTATCAGTCATGCCCTTTGGCTCACCATCACAGCTGCTTTATCAGGAAAGCTAAAAGGAGCAGCACCTCCCATTCAGTCACACTACCAGCCAAAAATAAGTCTCAATTTTGCCRTATCTTGCTCACATAAATAGTCTCATCAGTTTTTCCAAGAGATGTGACAAAACCCAGGGTAGAGGAGTAATTTCATTTTTAGATTCTTTACAGAAAGACTTCCATGGCCCAACCAAGTCAGTGCTGTACACTCCAAAACACCAAATTAATTTGCCCCTACCATTAACAGCTTTATGCCAAAACGAATGATCAGAACACAGCACAGTCACGGGGACACAACCGAATGTGATCCCAGCTTTACAACAGATTATCCTGTTGGATAATCTTCTCCACACCTTTGCTGGATTTTAAGATCTAAAAAGCTCTGTATTTTCTAGCACACTATAAAGAAGGTACAATTTCATTTTCCTGGGAAGGACCACACTGTCCATGATGGAAGTGAAGATAAGCAAAGCCACCTCCCTCAGCTGTAGCAAGGTGCTATGGTCCTGAAGCTGCTAAATCACCTTGCACAAATCCTTAAATGTCCACAATTATCGACCCAGTTATCTGGGGCATTCTCCTGATCCAAGCACAGGTTTCTTTCCAAGAACACAGGCCTGGAAGGTAGGGAAACATTTTTTKACCAGATGCTCTGTTACTGAAGCAAGATGAGATGAAGGTAGCATTAATGCATATACCCCTTTTCTTCAGTATTTAAGGGCATTCAGCCCTGAGCAGCTTCCTCAAAGGTTGATGGCAAACTCATCTTCAGATCCCAGAGTCCACACCTCCTCAGGCTCAGGATGGTGAGACCTCAGGGTACCAGTCAGGAGATAACACAAGCCTGTATCTTTGCTTGCAAAGGACACRGCCTTCAGTTACAAGAATTCCTCATCTTCAGAAAATGAAGGTTCAAACTCAGGCTCCCTACAGGTGCCATCATTGCTTTTGACAGGAGACAGAATCCCTTCTAAGAAGGATTGCAGACMCACAACACTGGTGAAAGGGTATTTCTGACACAGGACTCAGGACAAACCAAATCAGCTTATCCCCAGCACAGGTGTATGTGCTGTCAGAGGCCACTGCTAGTCCCTGCTCGTGTACGATCTTGAATTTATCCTGTATCTGATACAAAGGAGTTAAATGTCTTCAAATTAAAACCTGGGTGTAGTGAGTATATTGTTTAGATATTTGTGTATTAAAAGTTTGAGCTTGACATTTCAGCCCCTTAGGCACTTGAGGTAATGTAACTTTAAAACTGAGAGTGTAAATTCTTTACATTAATGCTGTTCCATGCTAAAGTCCCTCAGAACTTTCCAAACCAAGTCAAATCAGACACTTCAATAACAGGTTTCTCTGGCTTCCTTTACCACCTAACTTGCAAATTCCAATCATACCTTCACTTTCCTCCTAAAAGTGCAGGTCAGGAATAAAAGTCAAAGATACATTTAAAAAACCTGTACTTTCTATAGAATGAACAATTAAATACAATTAAACAATTGTAGATATAACCACTACCATAGTTTTTAYGTAGATTTTTAAAATTTAATGTACCATTACATATACTTTGAATCAATATATAATTGAAGATATCATTGTTAGAAGCATTTATAAATAGTGATCATATGAGATTTTAAAATTTAGCTTAGTAACTTGACAACATTTTATTTTGAATTCATGTGTGCTCTTATCTTGCAGCAACAGTTATTAATAGAAAGGATTATGGGCATTAATCAACTGGAAACACAAGTACATGTTCTACAGGAATAATAAAAACCATAATCAAGTCCCCAGGTTCTTGGATTTAATGAGAAATCTGAAGGTAATCCCATYTTGTTAAATATAGACTTACAGGAGTAACTACTTACCTGCAAACAGAGCTGTTCAACCCCCAGCACGGACAGGGCCTTCACAGACCTGCACGTGGCACAGAATATCCACCTCCACAACCCAGCTGCTATTCTTAAGACACATCCTTAAGTCCTGCAAGTCTTTGGGGATTGCTATCCCACATACTTACATAATCACCCATTCCATCTTCTAACTAAGCCATCAGCTAAATACCAGAATACAGCTCTCAAAAGGGAAAGCTCAGGAGCAAGTGGGGATAGAATCTCTGAAGGGTGAAGAAAGATTCTCTGCTTCTAGGTGGGCTTCTGTTTTCTTCCTTTAAAACTGGACTTTCAGACCCCTTCARCTTTAGTCAAGTTCATTACCAGATGGTGAGAAAATTCTGGAAAATGGCAGAACATAAATGCAAGATGCTTTTTAGCAAAAGGCCTATTCAGTAAAATAGGGTACTGTTTTTGAAAATTACAATTTAGAGCATAGGATTTTTAATATATCGATGCCCATTTTAAAGCCTGTATCACAGCATTAATCTATATTACTCAAACATACACAGGATATYATTACAGAAGACAAAGGTGCCTTAAAAACTAAATCCAAATAATTCCACACGTGCAGCCTTAACAGAYACCACTCAGTACCTTTAACAGGAAGCCTGTATCTTTAGAAATACGGTTTTGTTTCTCTTTCATCTGGTAATTCCCCCACTAAAAATCCTTTGTCCATTCTGGCCAAGTCTGGTCCCAGTGACWTTGTAGTTTTATCTGAATACTCAGACAGTTTCAGCCAAAACCCACTGTACCACTGCCAGCTTGTTTCTGAATTGAAAATTCTGCACAGGACACTCAAGAAGCTTCAGATGTGCCTATAACAATTAGCTCAGACACATTTCATCAGACAATAAAGCCCCAAGCTATCAGTTTTATATTCCTGAAGTCTCARTCAGAAAGAATCCTAGACTAATAAAAAGGAACTGAATGCTTCCTGAAAAAGTTGATTTTTTTATCTTAAGACCATGCTGTTCTCAACATTCTGTTTTAGATCAGTTGCAGAGTTCAAAATATTTTCATGAAGTTTCTCATGTCATTTTTATCTAGGAAATCTGAAACAAAGGATAGTGAGAACACAGTTTTACCGATAAAACACTTCAGACCTTATCTCTCTTCTCTACAAATACACGAAAGGAGGTTGGAGTGAAGCAGGTGCTGGTCTTTTTTCCAAATTAGCAATCAATAAGACATGAGGAAATGGTCTCAAGGCATGCCAGGGGTGGTTCAGATTGGACATTAKGAAAAATTTATCCACCAAAAGGGTTGTCAASCATTGGACCAGGCTGCCCAAGGAAGGGGTTGAGTCACCAGCCCTGGAGGGATTTAAAAGATGTGTACATGTGGCACTTGGGGACATGGTTTAGTGGCGGGCTTGGCACACACTAGTGCTGGGTTAATGGCTGGACTAATCTTAGAGGTCTTTTCCAGTCAAAAGATTCTTTTATTCCATGAGAAAATACAGAAAGGCAGCCTCCCATCTCAGTGGTCTGTGATCAGCAAGAGGGAGCAGTCATCACATGCTTGGCTTTGCCATCCCCACCATCCCTGCAGCCAAGGTTGCCATGAAGACAGAAACCTGCATTTCAGTGTTTTGCAAATCTCAACAAAAGAAAAACGTTTTTCGAACTTAGACAAAAAGGCTTTTAAGCTCTTGAAATAAATGTCAGGCAAAATACTGTCTTCACCTTAGAAAGAAATTRTATTTGTGATTGAGCTTCTTTGCACAGGACAGATTAAACTGTTTCACTGACTGCAATAAACAGGTGCAARGTGTAGGTTTCTCTTACACAGAAAACATGGAAACAGACACTGTACCTTACTGTCCTCATCCTCAAACACGGACTGGTGAACGTTACAGGCGAAAAGAGAATTTGGGAGATCATTGAAATCAATTATTTCATGAAAATCTTCCTCTGCAAAACATCTCTTTAGGCCGTTGTCTCCATTGATAGAGTAGAGTAGGAACTGTCCTCCATCCTCCGGGATGCAGCCATAGTGGCCAAGGCCCCGCATTCCAAAGAAGTAGGAATCTCCCCTCATCCCTGGCAGCATGGAGAAAATAACATAACACAGTTACACTACATATCCAAACATTCCACATCCACAAGTTAACCCTGAGATTCTTAACTTTGGGAACTCTGTTTGTGGAAAGGAAATTTCACACTATTTCAAGGCAACAGCTGGGCTCTGACACAGGGCACCAAGACCAGTTTCACCAAGGTTCAAACAGGGACTTGGCTTTAASTTCATTTATCAGCACAGGAAAGGTCTAAATAGATCTATACAATCTTCTGAACACAAGCAGAAGTGACATATTACTTAAGGACCCCTTGCCCCAAGAGAAAGCACTGTGCTGTATTTGGGTTCAAGAGAACCATGTTTTTTACTGGGAAGGCTACTGGTGCATCTGAGTTTGCAGACAGCTCAGGGAGCACAATGCACTGGGTAAGAGCAACTTCGAAAATAACTTTGAAATTTAAATCAGGCATCAAGAAAAAAAAACAAACAAAAGACCCTTTTGGAAAGTAGCATGAACATGGCATTATCAAAAACCAGTACAACCAAGACACATCTTTGCTACGAAGAATAAAACCACTTTTTTCTACAGTTTAAGTACACAACTTACACTGKTTTTCCATGCCCATTAGCAATTTCTTTGCATCTTAATCACACTAGGAGGCAAATAAAGTTAAGGGAAGAGCAGACTCAAGATGACTCTCAGCACTTTTAGGACCATCCTGCTGATTTTGGAGCCTTTTGGACCCAAATACATCAATATAGAGAGGTAAATTTAAGGCACACAGAATGATGGGCACACACAATGAGCCCACACATTAAATGATGTCACTACTGTTGTTACAGGAGTAAGCTTTATGGCGGCCAAGGGGACTAAGTTAAGGTCCAATTAATGATCAGCGTGTTAATTAGTATAAAATCAGGTATTTAGCAGTCCTTAGTAGCCATCCATCTATCACTTCTAYGGAGTCTCAGTACGTTAACTAGAGRTTTACTGGATAATAATCTTTTCCCTTTCATTTATTCCTTTCAATAACAATATGCAATCATTAGCTGCTTTTCCTCCTCATAACACAAGGAGTTAGAGTTACATAAACTCAGCATGCTCATCTGTTCTGATCTGCCCTTGCTCTCTTGCATACTTGCTATTCTCTATAAATAGCTGTAAATATTAGCTCAAATACACTATATAGGGCTACTGTCCAAAATTAAACCATATGGGCTTATTGCACTTAATCTCAGTAAAGCKAAATTATGGAGCTAATTTGCCATGGCTGTGCCTTTCATATAACCTCTGCTCTGAAATGAGATTTGGCTGRTGACAGAGCACATCATTCCATAACATAAGGTTATGGAAATATCAGTAACTGTTATTGCTGGAGTCTCAGGGCCAATGACAGAAGTTCTCAAGAACAGAAGCTGAAGTCATACTCAAAAGTACTGTGTTAACCTGAGGACAGGTTTTCAGGCTATCAAATACACWCTTTCCTTTCATCAGCTCAGTCCAATATTAGCACAACCACCTCCAACTAATTTCAGTTTCGAAATTAAATTCTAATTAGAAAGAGAAAGCCTGAACAAATGGCAGAGGAGATGGCTACAAGTTCAGCACATTAGTGTGGTAGAGTTCACCATCACAGCAACACTGCCTCTGGTATTTGAACCAACTCACTTAAGCTTTGTATTACTGCACATTTCATGGTAAACATATGCTGCAAAATACTATAAAGAAATCCTCACAGCAGCCAGAAACTGGTAATATTTTCTCTAGCAAAAAGCATTAATAAATCATCTCCTCCAAAAACAATCATCTCTAAGCATGTTTGTCATCRTGTCTAGCCTCTGTCATTAGGTTTATGAAAATGAACCTCAAGCCCAGTGTGTTACAAAACACAATTTATATGGCATAGCAGACTTGTGCCAGTCTGTGGGAAGAATTTCATTCACAGGCAAACAACTTGCAGCCAGGGACRACTCTGACCATCTGAGAGTCACAGTAGCTGACACACTAAAGCTGTAGGAATTTGGATTATGAATGTTAAAGCTAACAAGTTTCATACCTCCTTTCCTAGGGCATAACAAAGCTAATAGTGTGTGCAGAGAAGTAAAGAATCTCAATCTATTGAAGAAGTCATGGAAGTCTATAGGCTTTCTCACTAAACTGTTGTTTATTTTTCTCTCTTGGGAGAGCTATTTTATGATAAAGTACCACACAGGAAAGCTTTTAAGTTAGGAATTCAGMAAAACCACTATGACAAACAACAAAACAGAACAGGATTTTTTAAGTTACAAACATTAAGCTCAGGGTTTTAGCCAGTAACAAAACGAACATACTCTGCAGTAGCMAAGATTAGAAATTAATAAATACTTACACCACGTGGCAGTAGCTTTGCTSTGCTAGAGCTCTTGAACAGGAAAAGCTTGTTACTTTCTTGCAGCCAATTATTGAGCCGGTTTTGCCCAGTGGGACTTGGATATTGGCCAAGTCTTTTTAAGAAAGTCACTGTCTCACAGGCCTTTTGACCAGTTATTTTTCAAGATTTGCAGGTAGATRTCTGTGCCTGCACAGGTATCTTCCWATCTTAAGATACACCCAGAATTCTGATCAGTGCTCCCTGCAATAACAAGTCAGCTTGAAAAACCCTGATTCYTAAAACCTCTGCCCAATTTATGATGGAACATGCACTGTTAAGAACACCTGTATGGAATAATTATTGTTTCACAGACTTTCCTTTGCCATGCACTGCATTATACACAGCATAGCAACAGAGTTAAAACAGAAATCTCACGAATAAAATTCATTCATGTTTCCCCAAGAGAAAGAAACTGCCTATGAGCCTGAGCTTAAAGATAATCAGAGGGGACAAACATACTTGAAATCAACATTTGTTAGCAGACTTCAATCAGAAGTTATCCTCAGGAATAAGATGGAAATCTTACCTTTYTCCATATTATGAATAATGTTACACACACAAATTTACATATCTATATCTATATATATATAATTTACATATCTATATATATATAGTTATATACACGTCAAAAATCATAACTACATATCCTTTGTTATGTCTGTCAAACCTTAATGCTCAGGTATCTTGTTGCTGATTGTGTTTTGTGGCTTCTTTGAAATTACTTAGCAACTTCAGACAGTCCTCTGACCAAAAAAAAAAAAAAATCCTCTTTCCAATTATTGAAATAATTTAGAACAAAAGAATTTACATTTCAAATCCCTTAAAACAATTAACTCTAAGTCATGCATAATCTATGAACTGGATTTCCATATAAAATAAGCCAAATTAAAAGTAATCTTTTATGTAACTATAATATTATCACTGGATCACATTCCTATTTATGTTAAAGCTCCTTTCCACAGCTTCTGACAAAGTTAACTTCATCCTCTTAGGATCCTTTTTATATTAAAAAAAAAAAACACCAAAAAATCCCCAAAAAACCCAGACACCCACATAATAGTAAATTGTACTTATCTTTCTTTTAAAATGCAATGAGTTCAAACCAAGCTATGCATTTGCTTCTCCCCTCCGAAATGAAGAGATTTTTCAAATAGTTGAGATACCAGAAGTTACCATACAGAATTTCARAAGAAGTGGTGATCACAATAAAAAAATAAAAATTATATAGTTATACAGGCATCATCCAGCATCAACACTGATGCTAAATTATCCAAAAATCTTAATTGGGACCATGCCAACAAACTCTGTAGCAGGACTGTTTCCTTGAGAAGTCTGAGACACTGAGGTAGAATCAGACCTTGACCCAACAACCTCATGTAACCTCCAGCTAATGCTGAGCACTTGCCACATTCATTTATTCCCTTTATTTAAAGTTCACCCATATGTTATCTGTTTTATTTCTGAATTTGGTGTAAGATTTGGATCCTGACTTTTTACTGTGGACCCTCAACTTTAATACATCCTGCAGAACAAGAACCCTGAGAGTGCTGCACTTTTAACCCTSGGAAAACCACAGCAGCCACTTCCCACCCAGACCCTACACATCAYTTCACACTGATGTGAGTTATTTCAAATTTCTCCTCCCATGGTTCAGGTGTGCAAAGGTTTCTAATTTGGGATAGCTCCAAACTCATGCCAAACACCCTTCTCACTGGAACAGATCAGGTCRTGTCAGTGTTCAGCACCAGAGATGMTGTGACCAAAAGCTCTGTAGAGATTCCAAGCAGGAGCTCTGTGTTCGTTCTCCTACTATTTTTAGACACAGTACACTTCTAATTAAAATTAACAGAGGCCAGCAGAAAATTATATTCACTGGAAAACAGCAGTAGCTCACTGAAGATTCTCTTTGAAAAAKCACGTATTTAGTGTTGTACTGAAAGGGCAAAGATGTGCATCATCTCATGAAGTTAGATCCCTGCAGAGCCAAAGCCTTCAGTAGAAATGTTATTGAATGAAGACAATTTGAGTATATGAAGTGTCTGAAYGGACCTATGCCTTATACACCACTGAGCATTTATAGATTTATCCACTGGTTTTATGCAAACTAATAAGGCATTTCCTTGGTGAACTTTCCTGTCTTTAGAGTTTTTTAAAAGAATCCCTGAGGGACATCAAGAAACAGACACATATCTCTTGAAATCACTAGGAAACTTTACTTTTTTTTTATTAAACACTGCTTGCCATGACAAACAATATGACTAAAAATAGAATAAAGCAAACAAAACGTTACAAATAGAAGCTTTAAATATAATCACTATAAACTAGAAGTATTATTGAGTCCTGAGTACAAACCTGGAAACCATAATCTGCAGGAATTAAGAAAATTTGGAGAAAAAAAAAAAACAAAAAAAAAAACAAAGGAAGAAAAGCTGCAGTTGCTTTTCTAGAAGGGTCCAGGAAAAGTGTAGGGCTTCCATCTTGGCTCCTACTAAAAAAAAAAATAAGCCTCCAAAAAGCAATTTTTAGCATAATTCAAAAGCAGGGGAAGGGCAGGAAGGGAGTAGTCAAACCCAGTGAATAAGATTTTACTGAAAGAATAATTTTTTATTTAAAATAATCACTGGYTTTACAATAGCAGAGTCACCCGTTTCAGTGGTATCAGCCTAGGGCTGCATCTCCTGCAGAAGCCACCTGGCCCCACACTGAAGGCTCTGTCAGAAGGCTCAAGCGTARCAGGGAAGGTCACAGAGTAACTTACTGAAATTTCATTCCACTCTGCACAATGAACACTGGAGATGAGCATTATTTTTAATGGTGCTAATTCTTCACTGCAAAGCTCCTATGGACTTAAATAGAGGCTTTTTACTTAATTAGAAAGAGCAGAACTGGACCTCACATGACAGGATTAATGAACCTTTGCAGCCTCAAAAGCAACATGGACTATAGTGACCCCCTCCCACAGCCTTCACCTCTGATCTCCCACCAGGGCAAATTCCCCTTACAGGAATCAAAATTTCCAATACAGGGAAGTCCCCTCACATTTGAGCTCCAGTTTCTTTAGCACCACACAAAAATAGYGCCAATCTCCCCTTTTCCTCTTACAAAAGTGGCAGATATGAGGAAGAGGATTTTAATTTTTTTTTTCTAAATGCTAACTGGTGCAAATCCCAAATGTTCTAATCCTTTCCACTGACATTCTAGCCGCATTAAATTTAGCTGAGACTTTGGAACTATTTTTGGAAGCTTTTAACATCCAAAGGGACTATTCAGTTTTATTCCTCTAAAGCAGGACTGGTCAGCTCAAGCAGYCCAAGACATGCACATCACACTGAAGGTTCAGCTGTGCCTCCCACRCCAGGGATGTATCCTGAGACTACAGAGGGACTTGTCTGCCATTGCCTTGGTGAGCATCTGCGTCTCCAGCCCTGGAGAAAATGATCCAGGAGGCACCGGTTAACCCAACCAAGTCAAAATTCCAATCCCATTCCACAATAGGAAAGTGATACTTTGGAGCAACCAATGCCAGGTGTGAAGATTCCCTGTGATGTTCTTAAGGTCAAGAAGCTGAGCTTCCATCAGTCGGGTACCACAGTTACCGTGGCAACATTAAGGTATTCAAAGAACAAAAAAAAAAAACCTCTCCAAACACAAAGAAGACAGAACAAGCCTTCTGATTACCTTCACTTGGCCTCTATGCTAATCTATTTAAAGCAAGCCCGTTTTGTAAGGGGCACACAGCATTAGAGCGTCACTGGCCTTCAGCCAGAGCTGTCACCTCACGCAGGGGTCAGTGGAACACTCGATTAGCAGCCCTCCAGCTTGTAACCTGAAATTCAGAACTGTGCTCCAAATCTTACCCAGAACTACCTGCAATAGGAACCATTCACAGGGCTTAACTCCTAGAAGATATTTGGGACCCAGTGATGACTTAGAATAAAATTTTGAAGTTTCCTGCTCTAAAAGGATCTCCTGCTGGCACATTCAAGTAATTTACAAATAAAAAAAAAATAAGGACACCGATGCAATGACAAACATTTTCAACAGAAACAACGACAAACCAAGCTGCTGAATCTGAATACAAACTACAATACTTGGAAGAGGACAGACAAACTAGATCACACAGCTGACAACTTGGAAGTTTAAGGAGAATAGGACAGGTCCTGCTGTTAAAGGTACCAATTACTAGTAACAGAGAAGTTCATCTACAGAAAATCTTCTTCTCTCCTTGTTTACTAGATGTGTTTGCAGTTTTTGGAATTGTTTTATATTCTCACAGTATTCAGACTTCCATCTGTTCAGGGGTGATCTACAACCACATAATTTAGTTTCACTGCAAGAATAAATTCRGCAGTTTCTTTACACTAATCATGTTTTTTTCATGGAAAAAGGAGTTTTCCTTTTGAGTTTTCCTTTTCTACAGAGCAGCCATTCTAACTAGCTAAACAAAGACCAAACCACTTCCAATGGTAAAACTTGAAAGCCTGACAGACACTGGTGTAAAGCATAACCCCTGATTAAACTACCATTCTCATTTGTATGGTTGTTTTCAGCTACATAAACGTAGCATACATTTTTCTTTTAGGAATCCTCATAAAACTCCAAACTCAAGAAGTAGAGGACCACAATATTTTAAAGAGGTACAAAAGATTCTAGGAGAGGTGATGGRAAAAAAAAAAGCCAAACCAGCAAATTTGGAGAGCTACCTGTTATATAACCATTAAATGATATTGGCTTGGGATCACCGAATCACAAAGTGGTTTGGATTGGAAGGCACAAWAAAGACCATCTTGTTYCAACTCCCTGCCACRGCAGTGACACCTTTCACTAYGCCAGGTWGCTCCAAGCCCCATCCAAGGTGGTTTTGAACAATTTCAGGGATGGGGCAGCCACAGCTTCTCTGGGAAACCTGTGTCAGTGCCTCAGYAGCCTCACAGTAARAAACTTATTCCTAATACCTAATCTAAACCAACCTTCCTTCACTTCAAAGCCATTCCCTCTCGGATACCGCAGCCAAGTTTAGAGTAGCCCATGAAGAATCTCACTTTTAGGGCTCCCGGCGCACTCCAGCCCGGAGCTGCCCGAGCGCCCGGTCCGGGTCCGCATCGCTGCGACCCCGACCTGCTGCCAACGCTCTCGGCACGGCCGCAAACCCCCTTCCCACGCCCCCATCCCCTCCTCACGAGCTCCTCCGCCTCCCACTTGCGGACACACCAGCACCGATCCCTCCCGAGGGGCGGCCGCGGGCTCGCCGCGCATCCCCCGCGCTCCAAGAGCCGCGGGTGGAAGCAGCCCCGAGGGCAGCGCGGCGCCGGGGCAGGACCGCGGGGCGGTTGCATAACCCAGGTCTGCGGGACAGCGCTGCGGCCCCGGCGGGGAAGGAGCCCCTGGAGTGGCGGCCGTGCCCTTACCTGCGGATCGCTCGCCCTTCCCTCGTCCGCCCGGAGTCCGCCGCACTCCGAACCCTCCGCTCCCTCAGAGCGCCCCGCGCCCGCCCGCGCCGCGCCCGCCAAGGTGGAGGACGGGCGAACCAATCAGCAACGCCCGCTCCTAAACGGGCAGAGGGATCCACCAATAAGAACACGAGAAAGGCGCTGGTCCCGCCTCCCACACCCCTGGCCACGCCCCCAGCTCCCACGGCGACGCGCCGGGAATCGGTGACCGGCGGGGCCGTGAGGGGACAGGGGACAGGTGAGAGGGGACGGGGGATGGACGGGGATAGGAATTGGAACAGGTGAGCCGCACAGGGGACATGTGGGGACAAGGGATGAGCGAGGACAAGGGACAGGTGGGGAAGGGGAAAGGGGACAGGTGAGAGGGGACGGGGGATGGACGGGGATAGGAATTGGAACAGGTGAGCCGCACAGAGGACATGTGGGGACAAGGGATGAGCGAGGACAAGGGACAGGTGGGGAAGGGGACAGGGGACAGGTGAGWGGCACAGGGCAGTGTGGGGACACAGGTGAGCCGGAGCAGGAGCTCATGACACCCCAGCACACGGACCGGTAGGAAGCGGGCGGTGTTTCGTGTTTTCGTGGCAMAGCTTCTCTCCCTCAAGGTGTCGATGCCCCCACCCTGAGGGTGAGGTGGGGTGGGATGGAGTAGGGAGATGTGGGATGGGAGCAAGGAGAGGTGGCAGAGGTGGGGTGGAATGGGGTAGGGACGTGCAGGATGGGTTGGAATGAGAGGGAGTAGAGGTGGGATGGGTGGGATAGGGTAAGGTAGGGCAGAGGTGGTGTGGGCTAGGATGGGATAGAATGGGATGGAAGTGAGGAGGGATGAGGTAGGAGAGAGGTGGGATGGCATTGAATGGAAGCGAGAAGAGGTGATGGGATGAGGTAGGGGAGAGGTGGGGTGGGATGCAGACAGAAGTAGGATTGATGCCCAAAAAAATGCCAGTGCACCTCACCATGGTTTTAGTGACACCCCCCTGAGCCCCTCCTGTGGTGATGTTCTAGGGGTTCTAATTGCTCTGAGGGATGGAGATCCCAAGACCATTCCCACCTCTGRCCACCAACACCCAAACTGTCCTTTGGAGTGAGCTCCATCTGGGATGGATCCAATTCTTCAGACTAATAGGTTAATCAGGGCTATCTCCCCACCACACACAAGGCCATAAGGGCATTTGTAGGGCTCTTAAGGAACATCACGTTTACAGTGCAAAAAATGGTCATGATTTTAAAAAGAAGAGAAAGCCCTCAGATGCCCCCAAGGCACGTTTTATTAAAGGAAGGGCTATTTTCTCTCTTCCAGCTGCACATCCGAGGCTGCTAARCGTCAGAGGCTAACACTGATTTTCTGCATTCTCTTCACTTTGGAATATAATACAAAGGGATTTAATCAATAGGGTGATACAGAAACRTAAATAGGTTTCTATAAAGATGGCTTTGAAAATCTATAGAATGTAATGAAGAACTAGATGGCTGCCATGTAGTTATTAAATACCCTGTAAAAATCTGTGCAAGGAATAATTCTCCATTAGTTAAAAATATATAAAAAGATGTGTGCCATTTATAGCAGCACTTTCCAAAATTAGCAGAAAATAAATGGTGTGAAGAATGAAATCAATAGCATATCCCACCTCATCTCTGCAGACAGCAAAGAGCAATGCATTGGAGATTGTTGTGCTTGTAATACAAGAGCTTCTTCCTGGTCCCTTAATTAAGGACTGACTTCTGCCTTGATGCATATCTGGTTTAGACCCCTTTCAGGGTTTCTGCTTTTGTTCTACTTTTATTTTTAAATGTATAACAGGTARCTTACAATAGTAATTATTCTTTTCATTTGTCTGTCCTTGTGCCTCAAGGCACATATTAATAAAATATCAATCCCTGACCATGATCTTACTGCTTCCGGCATTCTGGAGAAGAGAAAGCAAGCTATGGAACCAAAGATGTCACTATATAAAGTAATAAGGTTTCAAATCAAATTATATGCTTGTTGRTTTTTGTTTTGATGATTAAACCTGGTAGGATATTTTCTTTTGTCTCCATTTATGTGTGTTCCCTTTGCATGATGTGTTATTTTAATATTCTGAGTAGGAAGAGCAWCCACTGGGCTTTTTCTGTCCTGCATTTTATGTTCCACAATTGCCTTGTGTCTTCTCATCTCCATCCTTTTAACTATGTCTTGTGTCTCAATTTTCATGAATTTTCATATTGGGAGGAATATTTTAATTGTGACTAAGTTGCCCATGCATATGTTTTCCTTGTGGCAAAATAGGAATCTCTAGAATTTTGAAAGCAAGCTAACCTACGTTCAGGAAAAATCAGGAATGCCAAGGTCGGCACTTTGGGTTTATATGCATCCAGCCATTATTGCTAAGATGAAGGGGAAAAAACCCTGATTCCACTGTCTGCAGTAAAATGTCTTCCAAACTAGATAATTATGAGAATGGCAACATTTGCAAGATTTCAATATTCCCTGTTAGAAGCATTAAAGATTTCTATCAGAAAAGGTCACAAAATAATTTATTATTTAGTCACAGAAAAAATGGTGTTGCCAAAACAATAGGATAAGAGCAATTGAGAGAAGTTCCTTTGTGGAGTCCCACCCTTTACCTTTCAGGCCATGCACCCTGTGCCTCCTGAAGGTTGTGGTCATCTTCCCRCAACCCAGGCAGTTGTAGAATGCCAAAACCTGGAGGAAGCTGTAATTCTGGAAAGGATACCAAAGGAGGTGATAAAACAGCTGCTGCTTGCAGGATCCACAAGCAGTGCTGTGAGCTCATCCCACAGAACTGAGTGGGAGTTTGTTACTGATATCCCAGAGCACAGGCTTAGCCCGTCTCCTCCAAATCCTGAGCTGCTCATTATCTTCAGTCTGCACCTGCTTCCCATCTCCAGATTTAATCTGTAAGCAAAAGTGGCCTCTCAAGTGTGCTGAAGCAGCCATGGGGAATTTCAACACAACTGAAGCAATGTAATCAAAAGATTTTGCACCCCCCCCCCCCCCCATGTTACCCTGATTTCTGATCATCAAAATAAAAACCTTGGCTAAGTCCTGCAGCCCTTGCAGAAGCTTTGGTGACAAAGTTTCYTCTTTTCAGAAGAAATGAGTAAGTAATGCCTCAAAATCTGTAGATGCTGAAGAAGTGAATGCTTTGTCTTTTACATTTATGCTCACTGGGATAATCCCAATTTTTTTGGCCAGATATGCAAGTGGCTGAGTCTGGAGATTAGAGTAGATAAAGCAAGTAAAATTAATGTTGACTCTGTSAGCATTATAATCTTGATTGTTTCTGTTACTTTTTTAGAACATAAAAAGCACTATTAGATCCATCTAGCTTTGTATTTTGTCTGCAGCAGCCAGGACTGGATGCTTAGCAAATCAGTGTAAGGACAGGCTCTGTATTCTCYCATTTACCTTATAATTTTCCAGCAGCTAGGGAGGTAGCAATTTCTGGAACTCATGGTTGAATTCAAGTTACTCCATTTGGTAGCTACCAGTGGTCCTGTTCTCTAGGGGTTTCTCTTAACTCTTTGAGCCCATTTGTAGTTTTGCTTTCCACAGTGTGCTGTGATAGTACAGTTCTTCACTGTGTAAAAGCAGTTTCAAGTCTTATCCCTGTTTAAGTTTTCCTCTGTTACAGAGGCAGTAAATTTATTGTTTATACCTTCTCACCATCATTATAGGACAATGGGGAATAACCTTAAACTGAGAGGGGGCAGGTTTAGATTAGATATTAGGARGAAATTCTTCCCTGTGAGGGTGGTGAGGCCCTGGCACAGGGTRCCAGAGAAGCTGTGGATACTCCATCCCTGAAGTGTCCAAGGCCARGTTGAATCARCCTGGTCCAGTGGGAGGTGTCCCTGTCCAAGGCAGGGGTTGTAATGGTGTGATCTTCTACGCTTCTTCCAAMCAAAACTATTCTGTGAWYATTTTYCAGACTTTAATTGGATTTCCCTCYAGCTATCCCTCTTTCAAGCTCATGTGATTTTCTCTGTTTTTAGTGGGAGACTTTATCATTATTCTCTCTAGTCTTTCTAATTTTACTATTTTGAAAACACTACTTTGAAACTTTGATTCTGCTAAAATGACTGCTGAGTTTTGCTGGATCTGGAAGAGACAAGAGCTGTCTGGCCTCTTGGCTTTGAATAACTCTGAAGATAAATCCAGGCCCTATGAGCCCTATGACTTTGGGGGTCCCCTCATTGTCTAAGAGAGGAGCTACTAATTCTTAACATTCAGTTCCCGTTTTTGATCACTTCCTAGGCAATTCCAGAGGGTTTTCCAATTCACGCTCCAGATCTCCTGCAGTGCTGGAACCAGTGTCTCTGTGTGTTGTTTGGGTTATTTTTTCCCCTGTGCACTGCTTTGCACTTATCAYTGCTGAACCTCATCTGCCAGTTTATCACTCAGTCACTCAGGGCAGTGAGACAACATTGCCTCGACACCTCTCCAGTGTCTGTGTGTGCACAGCAACTGCAGAGCAGCTTAGCTGCAACATTTTACAGACAAAAGCAAAGATGTGCAGAGCAAACGCTATCTCTTTTTGCTTTTTATCTGCAGAGCATTTTACATAGTTCTGGGTACAGGAATAATAATTGCACAATTGAAAATTTCCTGAAGGAGAGGAGACTGTCCTTCACCTGCTCTAAAATATTGGTGTCTGTAGTGTCTTTGCAAACATTACTCCACGAGCAGGTTGATTGTGGAGCAGAGCTGTTTCCTTTGGGGGCTTGGAGATGCAGGGAGCTGTATGCTGGATACATGCTCCAGCTGCAATGCCTGTTTTCCCCAAGTCTGGAATGTGGGGGTCAGACAACTGTGAAAAATTACCTAGAGGGTGCTTCCAGCACCTAAAGGAGCTACAAGAGAGCTGSARAGGGACTTTTATCAAGRTCATGGMGGGATAGAACAAGGAAAGAAATCTTAAGCTGAAGGAAGGCAGGGTYAGATTAAGTATTGGGAAGAAATTCTTCCCTGTGAGGGTGGTGAGGGCCTGGCACAGGCTGCCCAAAGAAGCTGTGGGT